AAAAGAAACAAAAATGGAACAAGACCCTTTCAAAGGCAACTCACACGTACGCGCCACGAAGCCAAAGTATTGGTGGCTAGCCTCCAGCTCAAGCTGCGGCATGGGAGGCGCGCTTGGATCCATGATGTAGTCATTCACAGCTTGTACAAATAGCACCGCAAATACATATACGATGAGGGCCAAAAGGATCAAAGCCCATATCAGTGCCTTGAGAGTTGAAAAGATCGACGTCACGAGAGTCCTGCCAGTCAAAAGTAGTCAAGCAGAAGTCAGCGAGCTGATCCGCAAAGCCGCTGTTACCCATTCTTCACACCTGTGCCCCCACAATTTGAGTTCATTAATTTGCAACACACGCCTTAGGGCGATGACAAAGCGGAGGATCCGGATGAACTGCATCGTCTTCAGAATTCTTGTTAGCCGCACGATGCGAAATGCCTGTGTGGGTGAGCTCGGCCTATCTTCAACTGATCAACATGAGTATTTCTTCTGTGTGACAGTGTGCATTGCGGCTCGCCATGACAAACTGCGCACGTGCATCTCCTTTCGGTCATGTAAGAAAAATATGGAGACAAGCCTTTATCACGCGCTCATCACATGGCCTCTCACGAGCATATCTCCTAGAGAAGGCTTCCTAAAGGGCCGAATCGTAATGTAACACACAGCCACGCGGCCACATTGGCGAAAAGGAAAAATTCCCACAGTTCATGGCAGGAGCTGTAGCCAACTCGCCTTTAAGCTGGAGATTCCGCCAATGCCATCTCCGCTGTCTTGGTATCCAAGCCTCACGCGGCCGCAGATTTGGCACGTTGCAGCGCATGAAGGGCGCTGGCAGGTCATTCATGCTGCCGCAATGTGGATCACTACAACTCTGAAGGGAACTCCCATTCAACCCCAAGCACAGTCAGCATCGCAAGGGCGTCGCAGCTTGGCGATGCGCAGGCAAGAAGCGAAGAAGCGATGTCCATGGCAGACTCCCACACAGATGTGATGACGATGAGCAAGTCCAGCCAGGCCCACATCCACCCTTCACTACAGAAGAGGTACCTTTGAAAGGCAAGCCAAACCACAACACATGTGTACGATTGACACCACTGTACGTGTGGCAAAAAGGGACCAACGTTCTTGTAGCCAGCAACGACGTGTAGCTCGTTCGCTTGCGATGCTAGACCCCACAGTGCACCTGTGTCTCTGCGTGGCTGGGTCTGCGTGTTTGTCTCTGTCTGATTGTCTATGTGCTGGTGTGTGTGTGTGTGCGCGTGTGTCTGTGCATGTGGATGTGGGTGGGTGGGTGCGTGGGTGCGTGGGTGCGTGCGTGCGTGCGTGCGTGGCTGCGTGGGTGCGCGTGGCTGCGTGGGTGCGTGGGTGCGTGGGTGCGTGGGTGAGTGCGCGTGCGCGTGTGCGTGTGTGCGTGTGTGCGTGTGTGCGTGTGTGCGTGTCCCCGTGCGCGTGCGCGTGCGTGGGCGCGGTACGCAGTGCGCGGTGCGAGGCGCGTGCGCGTGCGCGCGCGTGCGTGTGCGTGTGTGCGTGTGTGCGTGTGTGCGTGTGTGTGTGTGTGTGCGTGCGTGCGTGCGTGGGCGTGCGTTGGCGTGTGTTTATGCGTGTGTTTATGCGTGTGTGTGCGTGTGTGTGTGTGTGTGTGTGTGTGTGTGTGTGTGTGTGTGTGTGTGTGTGTGTGTGTGTGTGTGTGTGTGTGTGTGTGTGTGTGGTGTGTGGGGTGTGTGTGTGTGTGTGTGTGTGTGTGTGTGTGTGTGTGTGTGTGTGTGTGTGTGTGTGTGTGTGTGTGTGTGTGTGTGTGTGTGTGTGGGTGCGTGGGTGCGTGCGTGCGTGCGTGCGTGCGTGCGTGCGTGCGTGCGTGCGTGCGTGCGTCCGTGCGTGCGTGCGTGCGTGCGTGCGTGCGTGCGTGCGTGCGTGCGTGCGTGCGTGCGTGCGTGCGTGCGTGCGTGCGTGCGTGCGTGCGTGCGTGCGTGCGTGCGTGCGTCGTGCGTGCGTGCGTGCGTGCGTGCGTGCGTGCGTGCGTGCGTGCGTGCGTGCGTGCGTGCGTGCGTGCGTGCGTGAGTGCGTGCGTGCATGCGTGCGTGCGTGCGTGCGTGCGTGCGTGCGTGCGTGCGTGCGTGCGTGCGTGTGTGTGTGTGTGTGTGTGTGTGTGTGTGTGTGTGTGTGTGTGTGTGTGTGTGTGTGTGTGTGTGTGTGTGTGTGTGTGTGTGTGTGTGTGTGTGTGTGTGTGTGTGTGTGTGTGTGTGTGTGTGTGTGTGTGTCGGTGTGTGTGTGTGTGTCGGTGTGTGTGTGTGTGTGTCTGTGTGTGTCTCTGTGTGTGTCTGTGTGCGTGTGCGTGTGCGTGTGCGTGTGCGTGTGCGTGTGCGTGTGCGTGTGCGTGTGCGTGTGCGTGTGCGTGTGCGTGTGCGCGCGTGTGCGCGTGTGCGCGTGTGCGCGTGGCCGGGTGGCCGCGCGTGTGCGCCGCGCGTGCGCACGTGCGCGTGGACGCGTGTGCGCATGTGCGCGCGTGCGCGTGCGCGCGAATGCACGTGTGCGCGTGTGCGCGTGCGCGCGTGTGCGCGAGTGCGCAAGCGCGCGTGCGCGCGTGTGCGCGCGCGCGTGTGCGCGGTTCCGCGCGTGGTGGCGCTGTAAGCCTCGTGGCCGCGTTCGTGTGCGCGTTGCGCGCGAGCGCGCGCGTGCGCACCCGTGCTGCGTGCGCTCGTGTGCGCATGTGTGCGCGTGCGCTCAGTGTGCACGTCGTGTGCACAGCGTGCGCGAGCGCGCGTGCGCCGCGTGTGCGTGCGCGTGCGCGTGCGCGTGCGCGTGCGCGTGC